AGCAACATGTAAATAACAACATTCATTAATTGCGTATTGCTAAAAGGGGGTCTAACGCAAAATTTAGTACATGTATGTTGCCTTTGATTATCTCAATTGAGATTTGACAACGTTGTTTTCATGCATATTGCTAATGTGTAATTTTTCAACATTCATGGTTCTTTGCCGTTAATTGTTTAGCAATGCACAATGCACGTTTTTGTTAATTATTTTACTAATGTGCATTTGCACGTTGCCATTAATGATTGCTTGTTTTAGCAACATATAATGTCTGTTGCAAAAAGTTTATATGCTTCATGCTCATGGATTTAACAACAGATAATGACCATTGCTGAAAAAAGTTAATATGTGGCTATTTGGAACATTATATGGGAGTTGTTTAAACATCTACATTTAAAAATATTCATTTGTTCATTGTTAATAATATTATTTTAAACGTTCAGTGTTTTTTGCAACATTCATTGTCTGTTGCCGTATTTGTATACTGTACGATAATATCGAAGACCACAACGTGCAAGTGCGCTTTGCAAAAGCCCTACGACAACAAATTTTGTTAGTTTCAAATTGATATATTCTATAAGTGTTATGCTCTAAGTTCAATCAATTTTGAACACACACACACACACACATATATGTATATAATTGATGCATATGTAATTATGTATGGTAATATCTATTATTTAATTGAATTAATATTATAATAAATTAAATAATAGAATCCATAGATTCAAGTCTTGTTATTTGTTATTCCCAAAGAGTTGTGATTGTGATATACAAATTATATATGACTAAATCTTAAATTGTCCGCGGTCGAAATAATAACGAGATACGAATATCGTTATTACAGATAGATCATCGCGTGTGACATTCTTACTTGTGAATTAAGTATTGGATGTTACTCTGTCAAGGGTCGCTAATACAATATTGTTCAGGTACGTCAAGAATCATATGAAGGTTGTGAATGATCGACAGAGGATTCGTCACTCTTAGATCGTAAGGATTATGATCTACATTTTATCCAATTAAGTTGATAATGAAATTCTTGGCTAAGATGAACTCATAAGTTGAAACGGAGTTTTCGACTTACATTGATTTAACAGTATGATAAAAGATATGATCGATAATTGAGATTAACACATATCCATATATCATAATTGATCGGATCATATTGATGAAATGATTATAATTTCACGGTAAACGAACAAGTTTGGTTTGTCACATCACTTGACATTTCTTATCACATGTATTGTCCTGACACATTACTAGATGTCAATCTGGGACGACGAATGTGAATTTGTGATANTGCCAATTAATTAATTGACAAGTGTTGAATAATTAATTAATTGAGTTGTTTATTAATTAGCCAGAATTAATTAATTGGATTAATTAATTCATGGACCAGATTTAATTAATTTGATTAATTAAATATCGGATATGGTTAAGCTTGTAGACGGGCTAAGCCCGCTTGAGTGTATATTAATAGACTGCTAGGATTTGAAAACTGTATGAAAAATTTATTATTCTTGCTAGCAAAAGAAAAGCTAACCGCCATTCTTGTTCTCTGGGTGGATCACCATTGGAGGTTGGACATTTGGATTGCGGATCGTGATCATTTGAATTCGAGAATCGACAAAGGAGTTTACAGAATTCATCAAATGTATTATTATAAACACAGTTTCTATCTAAACACAACGTAGATTCGTGGTAGGAATTGAAAAATTATTAATTTTTCGTTGTGTATGTTAAGTAAATTCCCAACATTTTCTTGTAGTGTTAATACAAGCGATTCATAACCCTAGCTTTCATGATGAAATGGTTGCAAGTTCACCTTGTCTTGTACGGTGCTCGGGTTACTCCAATCAACGGTTGCTACCTACAAAAAGATGTCGGGGCTTTCTCCCCCGTTGTACATCCGACATGAGAATTAGTCTTTGGTTTTAACCAAATAAGGGGAAAGTATAGTGCGAATTTACGTAGTTTTGGGTTTTTTTGAAGCCAAACCTTTTTCACATTAGAGGTATTTATAGGGACCTGTTGACTTGCGTGCATTTGATGGTTACTGGTGCCACGTGTCCCACGTAAGCCTCCCCACTCCCCCCACGTTCTGGTAGAGTGACCCACAATCCTCAAGTGGTTGGTTGTACCCACGTTTGCCATTGGGCGGTTCCTGTCTAGCACATTATCATTTATGTAATTGAGTGAGGTGTTGGACCCATAGTGGTCGACGGCTTGTGTGGACGTGGAGGGTTTCAGGGGGGTCGACGGTTTCATAGTGATAGATGACCTATGTTATGGTGCTCGACAGGGAGGGTGCATATTAAGTAACCGGCCATCGTAGAGAATTGTTAGCACCATCTTATATCACACGACAAAGAGGGCACCTTGGTACAGTGCTTTTAAAGCGGAAAAAAGTGTTCCACAACTTGGCCTTTGCTCCCATCAACTGAGATGCAAACCAAGCTGCCCCTACTCTGCCCCCACAAGCTTTTCACTACTTTCAATTTAATGTTTGGGCAGATGTTCCCCCTCCTTGGGAGAGTTGTTGGATCTGATATTAATGAATAAAATACGGGTTGTCATAAAAGAAAAGTATGATCATTTCTTACCATCTATACATAAAAAGCCCTATTAAAAATTTGCGAAAAATATATTCCCGTCGTCGAAAAGTAAGTCCGATTTTCAGTATTTGAGTCCTTGAATTGTTGTTATACATCAACGGCCGCTTATGTTACCCCACTGAACTAGTGTCCAGATTCAAATTGAACAAGAATGTTCACTTTGAGCTAGATGGTGACATTGTTAGGTTTGGGTCACTTTATTCAGCATTTCCAATTGTTAAATGACAAATTGTCGTCCGAATTAGCAATCAGTGAGTGTGAAAGCTATCAGTGGCCAATTTCAAATTTTGCATTTTTTAAAACTCTACCCTTTTTATTTTATTTTTGTTTCTTTAGTTCTTCAACGCGACAAATGGGCAATCAATTTTATTCATTGGACTACTTGTGCTCAATTTAACAAGAAAAAAAGTTTTGTAACATTTAAATATGTACCACAATTGACTAATCAATATCGTTTGCTTCTTTTTCTTTTGTATTTACCTTTTTTTTTTTTTTTTTTTTTTTTTTTTTTTTCTATTTTTTTTTTTAATTTTTTTTTTTTTTGTTTTTTTTTTTTTTTTNAAATTCTCTTAAAATCTGATTGACTTCGGTTCTAATTTTTGATTCAAAAAATACAGTGAATAAAAATTTTGACTTTAACAAAAACGTTTGAAATAAGAATAAAATTATACTATAATTTGAATTTTATACACAACACTGAATACCGATAGCAATCGTTTGACAATAGTGCAATTTAAGTTCGTTGGGGTTATAACTTATAATCCCTGTTTATATGACGTTAATTTGACATTAAATAATAAATACAATTAAATAAATCGTTTAATTCTATTTTTCATTTCACGTATCACCTAATACCACATAAATTGAGATTATAACCTCAGTTGTCTAAATAACATTATTCATTGTTTGAACAAGATGTCTTGTTTATATAATTAATGATATGGTAATGTCATTAATATTGTAACAATCAATTAATATTATACCTAATCAAGATATCTAACATTAATTAAAACATTAAAGATAAGCACAGCTATGCAACTTTTAATTCCATTTTAAGCAATTCTTTTAAGCCTTTTTTGAAGAACAATCAATTTCATGAATATAATTTTAGCTTAATTTTTATAATTAGACTCAAAAGGTAAGAATTTTGTAGTTCTTCCACCGCCCAGCCCAGAATTCAAAAAAGAAAATTTGACAGTTTGTATTTTAAAAGAAGAATTCACATTCACTCTCAACTCACAAGAGAGTGGTGAACAGTCCTACCATTGCTTTATATCACGTGGCCTGCACCCTTTTGTTCCATATTATTCAATTATAATATCAAGAAATTGAATAACAAAATTATCCCTCCAACAACTAAACATTCAACTAACATTTAAACTACAAAAAGATTGAAGTTAAAAATTTTATTTAACGAACTGCCGATGTTATATAGCTAAAAAGTGTAAAATGTTTGATATGTAATATTGAATAGTACTATTCAAAACAGTAAACAATGTTTTAACTTCTTTCATTCTTTTATCATGTCTAAACTATCGTATCAAAACATTACAACGATAATGTTATCTAAATCAGTATAACATGCCAAAACATGACTAAATGTGCATAAGATTTCGAAAAACAGTCGGCCTTTAGGCCGAGAGGGGAGCAATTGTTAGTCACAAACGACGTCAATCCATTATAGTCATAACATGTCAAAATTAGTCTTATTGGTAAGTCCGGTGTATAGTTGACATTTATCATTGGCTCAATTCATGACACGTCTTGGGTTCGTTAGTGTGGTTTGAGATGAGACGTGTCGGTTGGAATATTCCGAATCATAAAACTATAATGAAATTTATGATCGATCTAACATTTATTATCACGATAGTATACTAGCATTCGAAAAATAGCCAAAAGCAGACAAACAAAAGCTACCATATTGAGCAAGAATTATTGTTATCACCAAAATATTAGAATCCACATTGTGACAGTGAGCGTGGCGTTGGGGGTGGGGTTAGTCTACACTCCATCATTAATTATAGTCTCATGGATTTCAGCGTTATTATTATTTTTATTTTTTTCAAACTTCTCATTCATACCGCGCTCAAAAGCAAGAATCCGTTGATTGTTTAAAGATCCCACACCGTTCAACAGTCCCATTTCTTAGAGAGAGACTCATGGGTGTGGATTCAAGATTTTCTTTGATAAAATCTTGAATTGCTGTGGAACCCTATTTAGGATTGTTCATCAGAAAGCAAAGCGGCAAAGGGAAAAAAGAAAAAATAGCTTTTATTGATGCTGATCCGTTTTAAAGAGAAAATGGCCGTGGAAAAAAAGATGATCTTTTGAGGGTTTTTTTTTTTCTCTTTATATGACTGTCCCTCAGAAAAGTTTTCACTAATGCATAGCATGAAGAAGAAACAAAGGCATATCGTTTCTTGGTCTCAAGAGGTGGGTTTTTATTTTTATATTTGTGCGAAATTATTTATATGGATTGGGCTCAATCTGATATATATGGTTTGACTTGAATTTTCAGGAGGATGATATTTTGAGAGAGCAGATTCAAATACATGGAACTGAGAAGTAGAATCTTGATCCTCTTAGATCATGTTTTTGTGTAATTAGGTGGATCTAAAATTTAATTACTTTGATGGGATTTTGAATTTGAGATATATGTGTGCAGTTGGGCAATAATCGCGTCTAAATTCAAAGATAAAACAACCAGACAATGTAGAAGAAGGTTTGCTGATATAGAACATAATTGATATACGCATCTTTCCTTCTTCATTGAAATAATTTTTTATTTTACTTTGGATTATTATTCTTACGTGTGTGTAATTGTACTGCTGGACAGATGGTTCACTTATCTGAATTCTGATTTCAAGACAGGAGGCTGGTCAGCTGAGGAAGACATGCTCTTATGTGAGGTGTATTATTGCTCTGCAACTTGTTGATTATTTTCTGAAATAATTGATTATTGATTCTCTTAGTACCATAAATTGAGGGGTTCTCGAAAATGTCTGATGCTTGTTGTTTATGTTAGTTTAGGTCTTAGTTTAAAGATTTTTCATTTATTTTGTACTCTCTTCACTTGAATTGATATTGAACTCTTGTTCTTTATCTGTGGCTATGTGATAAGAACATTTATGGCATGTTTGGTATGCAGGATTGGACAACGTGGGCATGATTTAAATAGAAAATGAAGCAAAACTTTTGTCTAGTTGTCTTGTTCAGTTTTTTCCAACATTGCTCACCAAACGTGCCTTTATTGTTAGATTACATCAGACATTAGTACTTAGGGCACTTTCCAATATACTCTACAGTGTAATAACCAATAAGAATCTACAGTTAAATATTGATTTTTGATGTGATCTGATTGTAAAAATGAAATTCAGGCACAGAAGATATATGGAAACAGATGGACTGAGATTGCAAAGGTAGTTTCAGGCAGGTAATTAAATGTAAAATTGAGTATTTTCTTTTTCCTAATCTGTTTGGAGTAAAAAAGAACACTTCTTAAAATCCCCACCTTTTGTTTCTGTATTCGTGTAGAACTGATAATGCTGTGAAGAATCGGTTCACGACTCTGTGTAAGAAGAGAGCAAAGCGCGAAGCCTTAGCGAAAGAAAACAGAACTTCATACGTCAATTTAAACAACAAAAGGGTTGTATTTCCAACAGGGCTTAATACAGATGGAGTAACTGCAAGTACAGTACCTCTTAAAAAGAAGAGGTATATTAAATCAATGTCCTTCCTCTTGTTTGAAAAATGTCACTCGGATCAAAACATATCGAAATAAATTTGATCTTGATCTTTAGGATGGCTTTCGGGTCAAATCAAACAGAAACCTGCAACCACGGAGAAAAATTAGTCCAAGAATGTGGGACTGCAAATCATCTGTTGAGACCTCCATTTGCAGTACTAAATCAGAACTTCCATAATAGCGAGGGTAACTTGTTGATTCAGCCGCACGTCAACCACATGAAGGAGGCTATAGTTGATGGAAGTGAGTTCAATATGTTCTTTATAATAGAAACTTTATTAGATTGTTTATCAGTGCCTAAAAGCCACAGTAGAAGAAATCGACAAGAAAACGGCAATTTGTCTTTGTGCAATGGCGCAAATGTCTAGTTCACTTGTGGCGTGTTTGGTGGAGATTGTAACGACCCGACCTCGCGTTGGAGCCATTATCTTACGTACTGTCCGTTTCGGGAGAGCCTAGGTTCATCTTTCCCCCTCACGGCTTTCTGACGTGTCCCCAGGATTCGAACCCAAGACCTCCATCATATGGGTGACTTAAGTTGAATCTTGGTACCAATTGGACAATTTGTAACAACCCGGGTCCCACTTAAAGGGCTGTCCCGGCCGTTAGATCGACGACGTACTGTCCCAACTGTACCAACATGAGTCATTTCAGCATGCTATATCCTCACTTACACGCTCCCCGAGAAAACTTCCTAGGGGGTCACCTATCATAGAATTTTTCCAAGCCAAGCACGCTTAACTAGGGAGTTTCTAACGATGGACTTTCGGAAAAGAAGGTGCATGCTGGAAAAACTCATGTTGATACAGTGGAGACAATATGTCGTCGATTTAATGGCCGGGACAGTCCGTTAAGTGGGACCCGAGTCATTACAGAGAGAACTGGATAACATTAAACAGTACGAAAGAAGAAAAAGAATTTAAAATCTTGATTTATACTGCCAGTCCTGTACTTTGTTGTGCGAATTCAAACATGCACTTATGGTATTAGTATGATAACAATGTAACTAAGGGTGAATTCTCATGCAGCTGCAAATAACAAAACTCATGGAACATTTATTAAGAAAGATGATCCCAAGATGCTTGCATTGATGCAGCAAGCAGAATTGCTCAGCTCACTAGCAATAAAAGTTAATTCCGAGAACACCGATCAGAGTCTTGAAAACGCCTGGAAGGTATGGAAAATTATTCTTATGTATTAGAATCTACAGAGAACTAGATTTTAGTTTTTACTAGTAAAATATTGTTGAAACTTGATAAAATGTCAAGTTTAATTACAATCTCAAAAAAGAATTTTGGAAGGGCAAAATAGAAAGTTCAGCCTAATGTAAGGCTAACTATAATTTCAATTTGTAGTTTTCTGAATTTACCTCATGATTATTTTTCAGATTCTCCAAGATTTTCTCAAACAAAACAAAGAATGTGATCGGCACAAATTCTGCTTTGATGATACTGATTTTCAACTGGAGAATTTCAAGGAGTTGCTACAGGATTTAAGGAGTAGTAATGTAGGCAGTAGACCATTGAGGTAATTTACAAGGCAACCACGTTTATATGACTTGAAGGGCATGTTCGGTAGGAAGATTGGACAGTACTATGGATAAATTTTTTACTTCTTTTTCTTCCTATATAATTGCCAACACTGTTCAGTCCACCTTACCAAAAAGAGCAGAAAGGTTTATTCTCGTCCAGATATCTAATTATAGTTGTGCAGGCAAACTGATCCATATGAGGAGTCACCATCCAGCTCTGAATTTAGTACAGGGTCGACCCCGCCATCTCGTGCATCTGGTGACAAAACAGAACTGTGTCAAGCTAAATTGTGTACACATCAGGAAACCGGTCCCAAATCACAAACAGATCAATTGGGTGATTCACACTGTCTTGCTGAGGGAAACAGGAAATGCTGTGATGCAAACATAAATGAAGGTATACAATTTTATATTTACTAGGAAGGAGGGTTTTATGCCACTATTTCATCTTATTTTAAGCTGATGATATTTTTAAATTGAGTGCAGTGGAAAATTTGCTAGCTTGTGATGAAATAAAAGCTGATAATGGAGTTGTCAATGAATATTCTAACATAAAATTCAGTTCCCCTGTTCAAGTGACTCCATTGTTCAGATCACTGGCAGCAGCAATTCCCAGCCCAAAATTTTCAGAAAGTGTAAGAAATCTAATCTTTTACTCTTTATTTAAGAATAAGACAACGTACATAAGTATTCAAAGTGATCCTAAATGTCTAATGATATTAAACTACTATTTGAAATGTTAGTTATGGGATACCTCATTATAATATTGGCATAAACCGAATAATTTGCCTCATTGTTGTCAATCAGTCAATAAGAAGACTCAAGTCTGGATTATCAAGCCATACACTCCTGATTAGAGGTCCAGGCTAGAAAATCTGGATGGCCTTGAACTTAACATATATCAATTTCATTTCTACACCCGTTGATAAATTTCCATTAGTTTCCACATTTTCAGCCTAAGCTAGAATACCAAACCTAATTATAATTGGAAGAAAGTGACCAGAGTAGCATAGGATTTTTCCTTGATTGATTATATAAGCAAGTGATCTAATCTTTCTTAGTCATGCTAACAAGAAAAAATCCTAAAGTTAGTAAAAAAGATACATCAACATAAATTAGAAATGTCCAGTAGAATTATTTTGCAGTGATCAACATAGATCAAGAAATCATTTCGATGGAAATGATTTAGCTAAGCATACAAATTATTGTGATCTTTAACTAATTTGTCCCCGTGAATATTATAGAAATCCTAAACGAACTGTGATTTCACGGAGCTCATAATAGATGCATAGTCACTAGACACAATCATTTTGTTTAAAATCACTTTATTATTTTCTTGTAGATATATTGATGTCCATTTAATTTATTGCCGCAGGAGAAACACTTCTTGATGAAAACACTTGGAATAGGGTCGGCATCCCCAGGTCCGTGCACCAATCCTTCAAAACCTCCGCCCTGCAAAAGGTCCCTCCTCCATTGCCTCTGACTAATCTCACCAATCAACCTTACATGCATAATCTGTGGGCTTTGGAGCCACCAATCGACCTGAGTTTTTGAAAATAGGCCTTTGAAGATATGATTCCCTGTCTAGGGTGCTATGGAGCATTCTAGGTCTTCTTCCCCTTCTAATTCTTTTGTTTTGTGTGTCATGGAACTTGGATATGGATATCCATTTTTTTCATAAGGGCTCGAAACGCCAAACTATACATAACCTATACTACAATACTATAGTCATTTAGAGTGTAAGATTAGCATGGCATCTCGCCAATATTACTGTATTTTTAGGTGTGCAGAGTACTCTATAAGGTTCTATGTTTGTCTTACTAATTTTTTTTCATTACTTGTAATGAAATTTATGCATATTGGAGTGGATAATGTAATACAATTATGTTTGTGGACACATCTTCTTTGTCTGTTGTTTTGTCAGACAAAGACACATTTCTGAAAAATGGAAGAAATCTGAAAGCACAAGTTCATATGCACAGAGAAAAGGTCGCATAGAATGGGAAGATTCACAAATAAACAATAAGCATGCAACCTGGAAAAAGTTTTTAGTTACACGAGGCAAAATATTCATAGGCTCCTGGAGTTTGTAGAACAAGTTAGAGGATGGAGGGATCGACCAAAACTAACACGAAATCATTGTAGTTGCTAATGACTTAGTTGCTTTCGATTAATCAGATGGACTAGAAGATACTGGGCAAGTATGATTCTTGCTTCACTCCCTGAGAAGCCAAAGCTTTCTTTACCATCTCAAGTCTTTGTAAAATTTATTCTGATAAGTAAAAAAAAGAAAGGCGATAAAAGACCTACCTGGTCCAATCTGTCCATGCTCGGGAGCATTCCAGCACAAAATGAGGACACACGATCCTACAAATGATGGCTTCACACGGGATGCAAATATAATACTACTGTATGGAGTTGGTGTTGTCTTTTAAAAAGAATTTATGTTGCCGACTCCAAGTGTTTTTTGGGAAGAAGGCTTAGTTTGTTGTTGTCAAGGCACAAAAATTCGTGCTTTTCTCCAGCTAGACATGAAGTTTCTCTAATTCAGTTCTGCATCTTACTCTTTGAAAGATGTGTGAATTGAGGAATGCTGTGGGAAGAAGGCTCTGAAAAAAGGCTGTTATTTTAAGGGTTGGTGGTGGAGGACAAGTGTAATCATGACCCAAAGGAAAAGCTATTGGTAAAAGAGGGAGGGAAATATTTACAAAATAAAGTTTTACATTCACTGGTAGTCACTCTACCTCAAGATTTAGCTCTAAAATTTACCAAATTTACTTAAATTGACCTTGGATCTCCAGTTCTAGTGATTGCATCTAAGTTGTTGGACATGGATACACGATGCAGACATGACATGGGTACGGGGATGCACGATTTCAAAAAGCAAGATCGAATAAGTAATGGAACATGTCGATTTATATTCATATATAATATTTTTATTTGTATACTTTTTAATATAGGACATGACACATACCATATCAAACACATTTATTTATTGAGAATAATTTATTTTGTTCATTTACTAAAATACCCTTATTTACTATTTCCAACAATAATTAAATAAGGGTAAATTAGGAAAAAATTTGACAAAAATTACGTTTTCAATAATATTAAATAAGCTTTTTTAATTCGTGAGAAAAATAAAATCAACATGTAATGGAAGGGAGGGAGTAAATATAACACAAACACATTACCTTAGCTAGATTGTCTAGCGTGGGATTGGATCCTGGAAGACTGGTCATTAAATCTTTTCATGTGTGCCTACTTCAGTGTCTGTGACAACTTTAATTAAGTGTGAGGATTACTGCTGGTCCACCATGTTACCCCTTTTGAGTTTTGGTACAAAGTATTGTTGTTTTTGTACAACAGATTATGTACATATATTTTGCCTAATTCTAAAGATTCGATGCAGAAAGAGATGAATACCTTGAATCACTTTGACTGAAAATTAAGTTCCATCTTCGATCACGAAATAGAGATGACTTGAATTCGTTAAATCAATTCGTTTAAAAACTAAGCTCCATCTTTGATCCACACACACACTTATACAAAACTCTTGTGAACACTCCATAAGATTAGCATTTTTAATAAAAGTTGTACATGCCATTTATGAGATAAAATCTTTTTACATGTTCGATTGGGAGGAAGAAAAAATAACTTCCTCGAAGTCAGTCCTTAACCTTTAGGACCATTGGATGCATGGAGTCTTAGTGGCAGATTTTCAGCCAATTATTTTAGGTATAATTAGGCCCACTATTTTAAAAAGGAAACTAATTAGAATAATACACTTAAAACCTAATCATGTCTTTAATCACCGTATAAATTACGCTCTTGATACGCTTAAATTCATCCAAAACACGGGCAGACAATCCCTATTTGATTTTTTATCTTCTAATTCTAATTTTTAACATTTTTTTTTTCCGAAATGATTTACACTACCTACCCCTCGCCATCATTTTATCCGGTGCCCCCGTCCATAAAGCTCAAAGCTTCCATGGCCGTTGACTTCTGGTCGAACTCCGCCACCGAACAAGGTGGTGCTTCGGAGCTACTGCTTGAAGTCAAAGACCTTTCCATCGAAATTGTCGAGTCCAAACAGCCCATTCTCAAATTCATCCAAAACACAGGTGGACCAACCAACTTCGATTTTTCAAAGAGATTTCTGGTTCTAATAGAAATAAAACTTTCTGGTCTAATAGCTCGAAGAGCACCCTATTTGCGACATTAGATGATCTTTCCATTACATTAATACAAAATCTTTTCATGATTGCCCATAGAGAACCTGGAGGTTCTATACTAAGGAAAAAAATATTTTGGCCGATATACTGCAAATATGTTCTACATCTTTTCAATTGAACGATCCAGGTCAGGTAACCAATACCCCCATATTGTTTCTAATTTTTTTTTTTTTTTTCATTTCTGTCTTAATTCCATATTTGTTTGACTATTTTTGTTTTGTTTTGTTTTTTTTTTTTTTCATTTCAATTGTTTTCAGATTGATATTTTTGGTTTCCTCTATATGTTGCTTGTATTGTCAATTTGGTCGGCGGAGTGAAACTGGAGCCAAATTTGCAGTTTTGCTTGGGATGTTCTTGTTCATCAATGATATACTTGAAGATTTTGTTTATGGAATAGCTGGATTTTGGCCATTCTTGCAAATATGGTGGCAAGAATTATTCCAGATCTACATCATTGTTTATATTATAGATGACATTCCCTTCTCTGTATCGAAATCTGGCAAGAATAAAAACCTACATATCAAGTTGAATTTACTGTTGTTCATAAATAACTTGGCTTGTTTATATCTATCTATCTTTGATGGTTTTGATTTGCGTGACTTTTGCCCTTTGAAATCATAATGTGTTCTATCTCTACAATGTGAATTCCAAGTTTATTCATCACTTAAGGGATAAAAGCTGCACATTGATTTTGTGTTTCCAAGGACATTGTATGTCACTTTTACTTCCAACATTTTATTTTATATGATTAATAGGTTGGTTGAATTGGTAGACGACGTGGCGGTGAATTGACTTAAAGATGATTGACGTTTTGATTAGTATTTTGCCGGTGAATTGATTTAAGATGCTTGGTGGTGAACGAAGAAAGAGAATGGACGGTGGTTGTGTCACTTATATTTTTTACTTCTGCCACTTTATTAAACTGATTTCAATGTTTTAATTGCTGTTATGTCACTTTTTTGAATCCTCTTGATTGTACCTAATATTAACGTTGACAATGACTATAGCACACTATTCGTTGAAATATTCAAGGTAAGATAGAATCCTTTGTGAAAACGGGCACACCTAGGCTTTCCAAGACAATCTGAAAGCATTGGTTAGACAAGTGGCTTCTGTGTGTAATATATTTCGAGGATACGTTAAAGAGAGAACATGATTTTACCACCACTTTTGTTTATCTTATAAGTGTATATATCTTTTATATTATGACATTTAGAATTACTATCTCTTATTTATTATCTTCCTGAAGTGTTGTAGTTTAGTTGAAACAGTAGTCATTGCATTTTAGTTTGGCAAGGTCTCTCCAATTTATTATGTATTTATTCTTCTACACAGTAATGAATGAAATTGAGTTGTCACTATTATTTCTCAAACTCTTCTCTATGATAGTTACAACACTAGGCACAACAGCTAGACAAAAGTGTAGGTCGACAACCTACATGTTTGTGAGGACTTCAAAAAGTTTAATATAATTATCTAGAACATTCTGGACACTTGGTACTTTCTATCACTCTCAAGCACTCTTAACTTGGGATGCATTTCTAAGTGAACCTACCTCCATTTATACTATCACTTCATTGCAATGGATGGTGAAGATAGATCCCAATCAATGGATAGGATTTAACATTTAAAATTTTCTAGAAATTGAGAACATGCTAGCAACTTCTATTTCCTACTCGGAGAATTAAACTCCATTAATGGTTGTTCACGAGATGCTCCAATTTTGAAATCTAATCATTTCTCCTTTCTTCATAATAAATGTCTTACGAAGGTCTTTAAATTTCATAAATAATTATATTTCAATTAATTATAGATTCTTATCGATACGAAGAATCTCAATTTCCAAACTTGTTTCTTTCATCTAAATTCTAATTCCCAACTTTTTGCCTTCTTCTTTTCTACAGGCTTGTGAGGGTGATAAGAAATGGGATTAGGAATTCCTTAGAGCTCTAAACAAGTAATGTTACTTGTAAACAACACTAATAGACGTATTTTAATTCATGGAAGATGTGACAATGATCTCACTACCACATCGCGTGCTATGCATTACTAGTGCTCACAATTAATAATATTGTTATTATCGCGTAAGTTTCTCTCTTCCTAAGGATGAGTTGTGGCCTTGTAAGTCCACCAAATGTCATTTATTCAATGGTCAAAATGTAGTTCTAGTCCATGCATTGGAATAGCACTTTGGATGCCATAACTTCTGTTAATTTATTATTTCAGTCAAACTAAAAGTATTCCTTTCAATTTAAATCCTAAACTCGTAAAAGTTACGAGGCTCTCAAATTCTAAATTGCTAGGGCCAAATAGTAACTTTCTCTAACTTATTTCGTAATTACATGAGATGTAATACCTATTCTAATAAGGATAATTCTATTCGATTAAGCGGTCAAAATTACACTCGAGTATTTTAGATAGTGTTTCTATGTCTTGCAAGTTCATATATCATTTTGTATACACTTGAGTATTTTGTGGTAATTAGAAACTTGTGATCTTGAAAAAAAAATCAATCAAAAGTTGCTTGTCACTGGCATTTCAAGACCAAAGAAAGATGATGTGTAGAAATTCAATGTTTTCTTTGTAAATTCTTTTTATTATTGTATATGTTCCAGAATTATTAATGTTCAGAATACTTTATTAGTATGATCTGAATTTTGAGGGAGCAATAATATCTATAACGTTGTTATCAGACCGAATCAGACAATTTGACCTGAAAACTAACAAACCGTTCGTTGAATTGATTCGATTGCTTGTATTAAAACTTGAGATTTTATTTTAAAACATCAACCTTGTTAAAAGGAGTATTAGTTCAAGCCTAACAGCTTGTACGGCCGATTTTATGAAAAAGATCGAAACCGCTTCGGAAGCACCTGTTTAATTATCCCAAAATATGAACACAAGGTATTTTCAGTATACCAATTTCCACGTTCATTTGAACTCGACTAATTAGGGTGATATTTCTGGGGTACTAGGCTTACTGAAAGACTTGAATTTTTTTTTTAATGCATCCTCGAATTGACACCCGTGAATCGTAACATTATAAAACTGGACTGCATCATCCCAGTCGGTTCAACGAACATTTTCAAAAAGTGGACACAACAATCACAATGACACATCGTAAACCAACCCGTCAAAT